AGCCCACGTAGTTTGGATTTCCGCTGAATAGCACCGGTCCGCAAACACACTGCGGAAAGTCAGGGTCATGCTGCAAATTTTTATGAAGAGAACATGTGAAATTGAAACTTCTCATCCAACGTAATCATGACTGATCACGATCATGACAAGGCGGAGAACGAATCTCACTTTCACTACCCGAAAACATGACGATATGTTTCGATTTTGACCACAAACCAATGACCGCATTCAATTACGTCTAGTCTCACAGACCCAAATATGTACCCCGCTCAGATTTTTTTTTCCGGGAGCCAGTTCCTCATTGGTGGTTCCGGAACACGAAACACCTAAACCAGTCAGGAGTAAGACAAGGAAGCAGCAGAAACCAGGATCCAGTCTCATGTTAAGCCGACAGATCTAGCAAGAACCAGGATCCAGCCTCATATTAAGCCGACTTGCAAGAACCAGGATCCAGCCTCGTATTAAGCCGACAGATCTTGCAAGAACCGGGATCAAGTCTCATATTCAGCGAAACATTGAGGACCAGGGTCCATGGTTTTGGTTTGTCGAAGGAACCGGTAGGAACAAAGAATCAAATCTAGGAACCATGCTCATTTCTACATCAACCACTCAAAAGATAAAGTCCAGGATCATAAGATAACAAAGATCCCGAAATAGCTTTCCATACTGCATTCTGGCCTTGTACACCACTTATTCCGCGCCCGGGTGTGATCAATTTCCCCACACACCCCCGTGAGGGTTTTTTCAGGATGACTTCCGAACAGCGCGATGTGGCCACGCCAAACTTTGCATAGCTAAAGGCAACTGGATAGCAGAACATTTGGTGTGAACAAAATATATGTTCCTTATAAGATCGCTGACCTATGGCGAGCCAAAGTTAGATCGTGGCTGCCAGCAAAAGGACATTTATAGGGAATCGTTCATCTAATGCGACAACGGAGTGTTAGACAAAGCCATACATCCATGAGATAGTTTCATTGGAAGTCCCTCAACTGAATGTAATAATTACAACAAATCCATTGCGGTAGGGTCAGGTATGAAGTTCAGATCGAAATAAAAACTCATTTGCCTTTTTACACAAGAGCCTCCTTTGTAAGGTAGCTTCTGGTAATCATTTCAAATGCATTGCTAATATGAACCGCAACAGACACATTACATGGACTTTTTAAAGGTCAGATTTGGTCGCTGACCTAAAGACCCAGGTCAGCATTTTGTGTTTAGGAACATAGCACCTAGCATAATCCGTGACGCTTATTTAATGGCAAAGAGGCAGCAATGTCGTATTATTCGTCACTTTGACCTTTCAAAGGTCAGCAAGGGTCACTGGGCTTTAATCAACACCTTAAACCTGTTGCTCAAAGCAGATATCTACGTTCACGGCAGTTGCGTGGGAACGTCTGCGGGCACTTTGGACACCAAACTGCGGTTTGATCTTATTTGACTTACTTAACCCCGATGCCATAGTCCAGGAACATGCAAATTCGGCATGAGCAATTTCACATACGGACCAACCCACCCTGTCGATATCGTGTCTCCAGCTATCTTAGCTTCTGAGATCTTCGGGGGGGGGGGGGGGAGTCAAATTGACCCCTCACTCGAGCGAAGGTTATTCAACCGGCTACCCGGGCACGTGTTAATAACCTGATTTGATATGATCTGCCGTGGATATTAACTCCTTACACCCCACCGCGCACGAATCATTCTGGAACCTCATATCCGGCAAGTTGTGACTCTGACGATCCGCAATCAAGTGCGGGTTTTCCCGACTGGGAAACGCGCTCACTTATTCCACCACTTGGTCAGGGTTTCGGAAGTTATTGGCAGATTCCATTACCTTTTTGAGCGTACCGGATTCGCAGTATATACCGTCACCAGTAGTGGGGTGGCTCGTTTCGGACGCGTCAAGAGCAGCCCACCGTTCCGGAAACGTTCGGGGAAGGGAAGGTGGGGGGAGCGAGCGGCGCCGGTGACGCCGGCCGCGCTGGAATGATCAGCAGGACCGGCCGGACTCCGCGGCCCGTTCAGGACTGGGTGCGGCTGGGTGTGTGTGACGGTCAGCAGCAGGACCGGCCCGGACTCCGCGGCCCGTTCAGGACTGGGTGCGGCTGGGTGTGTGTGACGGTCAGCAGCAGGACTGGCCGGGACTCCGCGGCCCGTTCAGGACTGGGTGCGGCTGGGTGTGTGTGACGGTCAGCAGCAGGACTGGCCGGACTCCGCGGCCCGTTCAGGACTGGGTGCGGCTGGATGTGTGTGACGGCCGGCAGCAGGAACGTTCAGGACTGTGTCGCGGCTGACGTGCGGAGGCGCTGGCGAGGCCGCGGCACTCTCGCTCGCTGCTGCCGCTGGCCAGGTCGCCGGCCGCGGCCCGCCCGGCTCACGACGCGCCGTATCTGACGCCGGTCGCGCCGCGGCTCCCGTGTGATCCCTGGACATCGTCGCGAGCTTCCGTGTGATTCCCTCGACCTCGTCGCGAGCTTCCGTGTGATCCATCGACATCGTCGCGAGCTTCCGTGTGATCCATCGGCATCGTCGCGAGCTTCCGTGTGATCCATCGACATCGTCGCGAGCTTCCATGTGATCCCTCGACATCGTCGCGAGCTTCCGTTTGATCCCTCGGCACCGTCGCGAGCTTCCGTGTGATCCCTCGACATCGTCGCGAACTGAGCTTGCGGCGCGGCCGCCGACGCCTTTGCATACGGCGTAAATTCACGGCAAGAGGTGACGGCCTTTATCACCTGCCGCCGGCGTCGACGAGCCAAACAAATTTCCCTGGACTGTTTGATGCTCCAAGTATGTGTTGACTCGGCTACCGATGGGCTGTCGGCCGCTTCGTCGGCTGTCGAGATTCAGCGCTTTCCGCACACTACTGCGCGGATCGCTGGGGCTCAGTCTCCTGCGGAACTTGGCCTGGGGGATTCGGACGTTTCATTGTTTGGGCGCGCCCGCTCGTTCAGTTCTGTTGGTAGCTCTTTTATCTGGAGTTTGGTCCGAATTTTTTGATTGAAGTCATTTCTGGGATTGGAACACCCCTAAGCGACCATAAACCAAAATATCATCATAATATTTAAATGGCACCTTGCCCACTTACCTTGGATGACGTTTGCAAATGGTGGTTCGCAGTACACACTGGTTGTGTATCGGTTGTATTTATGTTATCCTTGCATATCTGCGTTTTTGTCCCTTTGTGACACACTGACCTGCCCCGCGTAACCTCGTGCCATGAGGCGTGACCTGCCCCGCGTGACCTCGTGCCCTGAGGCGTGACCTGCCCCGCGTGACCTCGTGCCCTGAGGCGTGACCTGCCTCGCGTGACCTCGTGCCCTGAGGCGTGACCTGCCCCGCGTGACCTCGTGCCCTGAGGCGTGACCTGCCTCGCGTGACCTCGTGCCCTGAGGCGTGACCTGCCTCGCGTGACCTCGTGCCCTGAGGCGTGACCTGCCTCGCGTGACCCGTGCCCTGAGGCGTGACCTGCCCCGCGTGACCTCGTGCCCTGAGGCGTGACCTGCCTCGCGTGACCTCGTGCCCTGAGGCGTGACCTGCCTCGCGTAACCTCGTGCCCTGAGGCGTGACTCGCCTCGCGTAACCTCGTGCCCTGAGGCGTGACCTGCCCCGCGTGACCTCGTGCCCTGAGGCGTGACCTGCCCCGCGTGACCTCGTGCCCTGAGGCGTGACCTGCCTCGCGTGACCTCGTGCCCTGAGGCGTGACCTGCCTCGCGTAACCTCGTGCCCTGAGGCGTGACCTGCCCCGCGTAACCTCGTGCCCTGAGGCGTGACCTGCCCCGCGTAACCTCGTGCCCTGAGGCGTGACCTGCCTCGCGTGACCTCGTGCCATGAGGCGTGACCTGCCTCGCGTAACCTCGTGCCCTGAGGCGTGACCTGCCTCGCGTAACCTCGTGCCCTGAGGCGTGACCTGCCTCGCGTGACCTCGTGCCATGAGGCGTGACTCGCCTCGCGTAACCTCGTGCCATGAGGCGTGACCTGCCCAGCGTGACCTCGTGCCCTGAGGCGTGACCTGCCCAGCGTGACCTCGTGCCATGAGGCGTGACCTGCCCCGCGTAACCTCGTGCCCTGAGGCGTGACCTGCCCCGCGTGACCTCGTGCCCCTGAGGCGTGGCTCGCCTCGCCCGTCAGTTCTGAGTTGGTGCCGTGCCCTGTCATTGCGCAGGTTAATCAGCGCGTTCCTCAAATTGGCAAATGGCCACAACAAAATGGCCACAAATGGCCACAAATGGCAAATGGCCACAACAAATGGCCACGTGGTCATTTGTTGCTGTCATGCATCATTGAGCACTTGAGTCCATTTGCTAACTATGTAGTTAATAAATGAAACCTAACGCGTCAGAGTACTTTTAACACTTATATGATTCAAATGGAGAACAGCGTGAAAAGGATGAGTGCAAATCATACACAGTTATTCCAAAAAATGAGACGGAAAGCACGCCTGTCCCCACGCCGGTGCAAAGGTAAAAGCAAAAGTTCACGACGATGAAATTAAAAAAAATCCTATAAACAGCTTGGAGCAAGTAAGGTTGTGTTGGTTGTGTTACATGCAAACTGAAAGACAAAACTTGGATGTGAAAGACAGAACCCCGGTTGCGTTAATGCCACGTAAATACAGCATGAAGCTTTAGGTTATTTAGGCTTTAGGTTCAGACACTATGGTGGAGTATCCTCACCTGTGTGACACGGTGATGTAGTATCCCCACCTGTGTGATACGATAGTGGAGTATCCTCACCTGTGTGACACGATGATGGAGTACCCTTACCTGTGTGACACGATGGTAGAGTATCTTTACCTGTGTGACACGATGGTGGAGTGTCCTCACCTATGTGACACGATGGTGCAGTATCCTTACCTGTGTGACACGATGTACTCTCACCTGTGCGACACGATGGTAGACCATCCTCATCTGTGTGACACGATGGTGTAGTAGACTCAACTGTGCGACACGATGGTGGAGCATCCTCATCTGTGTGAAACGATGGTGTAGTATCCTCACCTGTGCGACACGATGGTGGAGTAGAGCAGACAGGGCGTGGAGAGTCCCGCACTACTTATCCAGATGAGGAGGATGCCCGAGATAGCTTCACACTTGCGTATCCGCCTCCGCAGCGGGTGCACGATCACCAGGTACCTGTCAACAAAACGCCGGTCGGTCGTGATGACGTCACGGAGGGAAGTAAGCCACACTGACGCTACGGACCTGCGGGGGGGGGGGGAGAGAACAGTACCACTACCACAGTCAGGTTTGCACCACCGCTGTCACTACCACTACCAGACTTCCATCAGCGCACGTTCTGCTAGACCAGTATCTCCATGACACCGGTAAACAGCTTTGACTGTTAAACTCCCAGAACATGCTCAGTGTTAATCACAAGCTGGTATCCATATCGCTTCTTTTTCTTTCTTTTTTCTCCTCTTCTCTCAGAAATACCTGGCGGACAAAAATAAACTGACAACGCATTTGGCCGAACGACATCCGGTGCACACACCCGCCCGTCGCTGCGAGATGCGCACGGCAGATGAGCACGTCAAGCCTCGTTTGACGACGGCAGCTCCCGTAATTGCCGGCGATCACCGAGCTGTCGTTGGCTGGGCGTCGCTCTGATGAAGCAGGTGCGACGCGTGCGACTGTGCTTTGGCCGCCCTGACATGTGTTTCTTTAAAGAGTGCGGCTTCGACAAGAGCTGCTTTGTCGGGATGGGGGAGGGGAGGGAGCAATGTGGGGAATGTCACCGTGGGGCAGGCGGTGGCCCTCATTAACTTTTTTGGCGCGGGTGTGGTACAGTGGGGCTGTCATTTTACTGTTTCATGACGATTTCGCATCGGTAGCGTGGCATAATCTGGGAGGTGTGTAGGTAAACGTAAAGTGATTCAATTTGATGAAACTACACAAGGCCGGTCTACAAGAGGGAAAAATGCACAAGGATCGTAAATATTTTTTGTTTACTTCATGGTTTCCATACCACTCAGATTTTGAGTTGCATGGGAACCTCAGCGAAGTGCGACGCTTCGTTTTGCAATTGTTTCTGATTTACAGTTATAACTACCAGTCTACCAGTTTGTCTCCTCATGAAGTAGCTTTTGGAGCCTTTTTACCAACCTCGTGTAACTTTTCGAGACTCCATTTGCTTTTCAAGCTCCATTTGCTCTAAAGCTCCATTTGCTTTTTCAGTTGCTGGGATCGGTGTCGAGGAAAACCCTCTCAAAATTAGGAAGGGGCATAACTACCTTGGCTCTCTACGGCTTATGCTGGAGGTCCCACTCACCTAAAGTGTCCCACTCACCTACAGAAACCCCGTTTTCCAGCGATAGGTGTGATAAATTGAGGCAATGGAGGGGGAGGATAAATAAAAATTCTTGTAAGCCTCTAGCGGCATTGCCAAACTATTTACCACGAATAAATCATTCTTTTTCTTGAGCCAGAGCCCAGCGCCTACTTTTTCAAATGTTATAACTAACGAAGGTTCATGTTTGAGAGGTTCTACAACCTGAGCAGCATTTATGACTTATCTCCAGAACAGGTTTCCATCGATAGCCATGGGAACCGATAGGGAACAATGCCATGGCGTGCATGCTTCGTTCGGACTATAATGGATGCATCCCATGTAACACGTGGCCATGGAAAACGATAGGGAGCAATGCCATGGTGCGCATGGTTCGTTCGGCCTATAATGGATGCATCCCATGCAGCACGTTAATGAGTCCCAGCCTTAGCCATAACGAAGCGTCAGTTTGAAAAATTTTATCCGCACGAGGACGTTCGGTGTGAACTCCGCAACACGGCGGCGACTGCACCCGAATTTGGCTGGAGAATTTCTCAATGTTTAGCTACAGCCACACTCCGGCCGATCATCGACCACATTAAACCGTCTCAAACCGGCGTGACAAAGGTGTATGCACAGCAGCCCTCAGGCAACTCGTCAAGCGCATACATCGATTGCAATGTGCTCGTGATTTTGGCAGTCCACCGGTCTTTTTGCATAAGTCATTGGGTGCTATGCATCGCGTCCGCGAGACCGCTGACTCGTCGCACGCCCCAAGGTAGGTTCAGGGCTAATGTGGGCGACCACGCAGGCACTCGGGGAAGACTGAACACGACGAGCAACGTGTAGTGCTGTCCTGTGCAGACTCTGCAGTGTCGAACCCAAGAGACCGAGCCTGTGACTTAATTTAGGGTAACCTCACCTAACCTGGTCTTTATTCTTTCTGCTGAGTGTTGTCAGCACTTGCCAACTGGTTTCTTGACTGCTCCATGCCCCTCTCCTTTGTGCCCCTCTTGACATTTTTCAACTCCTCGATCCCTTGCACCATACCAAACGCCGTCCTCCACTCTTCGTCTTAACGCTATATGTCTTCTTGACCGCTTTAAGGCTCTCCGATTCGGGCCTCCTCTCGCTTCGTGGCTCGAGCATCCGTGGCAGTCTCTCCCCTCCACGTGCCTCTCCTGGACGCGCTTCTACTCATGAGATTCGCTGCGTGGAGTGTTCGAAGCCTGACGAACGTTAATCACCGGTAGACATCAGTTGCTCGGGGAGCCGTCGCTTCTCCCCTTCCTCCGTGCCCATCCCAAACACACCCCTGCTCATGAAGTCGGCCAGGCGGGCTAGCCGATGTCTGGCGAACGGAGGACACCATCACCATGCAAAGATGTGCAGTGACCCCGCGCCAGCGTGACCCGTGACCCCGCGCTGCGCCGTTCGATTTCACGGGCTGGCAGGTCTGAGCGAATTGACCGGGTCGTTGCGGGGGCGGGACGAAGGCCAACCGAGCAGACCCATCGGCCGCTGCTGTGACGATCAAGGTGGAGCGAGGGCGAGACAGTCACTGTCCGCCTCAGCAAACAGCACCACCGTGGTGCTGCATGCCGCGGCGGACAGTGGCTGTCTCGGCAACATGCCGCGGCAGTTAAACACTGTCTGACAACATGCCGCGGCAGTTGACAACGTACGTGTTCCATATATTTTAGCAAGTTAGTTTTCTGCGTCATTTGTAAATAGTATTCTCCACATGACCTATGAAAAAGTTGGCATACAAAGCATGAGAAATACGAGATGAAGGGTGACAACCGGGCGACGCTGTAACCCTCGCTGGAACACTGGGACCTCAGAGACCCCTTTGAAGTTTCCGTGAAGGACTTTCAAACCTGTAAACGCATAACCCGAAAATTTCGGTACCTGAGTTCTTAGGCAGTTTCTGAAAGTCTTACCACCCATACGGGTGGCCGGTGAAATAGGACGTGGCTTGTGGGTCAGTTTGGTCAAATGCTGGTGGTGGTGAGGGTGGGGAAGGGGGTGGAGGGCTGCCAGGTCCCCTGGTCGCGCTGGAGTGAGAAAACGTCGATCCGACGACATTACGTCCGTGCGACCGCATTATTATAATATATTCGTCGGCCACACGGCGTTAAAAGTAGGCCAGGGTCATTGTAAATGCGCGGAACGCATAGCAGACATGATGCAAGAAATATCCGAAATATCATATCCGAAAGCTGCAGCACTCGGTGACTTCAGCTCCAGGTAGCGGCCATCGCAGGTACGATTTCCTTTACACAGTCCACGCTCTACCAAGAGCCAAAAGGCCCTTGTCGGCAGCAGCCCAAAAACCAGAGTGGATTCTCCGCTGGTCAGTGTGGCGAGGCGGGACAGTGGTACCACTTTTTAGTTTTTGGCTCTCTTGACCTTCGGGTAGCGGGCTGCCAGCGGACCGCAGCCCGCAACAGCTGACGACTGCAGAATCCACAGTGGATTCTACAATCGGTCTGCCAGGTGTAAACAGGTCTTCAGTTCTGTCCGGTGATAATTGAACAATAAGCACTCAGGTGGCTGATTATGACAGAAAGAAGCGCAAGCAGTGCAGCTGCGGACATTCTTTGAGCCTTTCTCATTACTGCACTGCACCGGTGATTTTGCCGACTTAAACGGAGTGTCCAACATTCATATGGGGTTTTGAACTGAAATAGCCAGCTTGAAGACCTTCCGGTGCTGTTCACAACCCTGTCCGTAAGACCTAAACTCCTCTAGTTTCTGAACCACACGCCCGTGAAAGTGGGGATAATATTGCGAGGAGAGTGCTTCAAAGTCACCTTAGCATTCCTGGTGTCATAATGACGTCATTCAAATTCTGCTATTCCATAAGCCATGTGGTAATCAAGGTCGAGGAAAATGGAACTGTCGTAGCGCCCATATCTGGCGGCGGTGAACATAATTTGCGGATATAACGACCGCCGATGGGCTCTCAGTCAATGTTGTGCAAGGAACAATGACTTAATCCAACCATAACACACTGAGCGGCATATTTACTCGACAGAGCATTGTAATGTCTAGAACAGTCTTTTCCGCTCAAAAGGCATACGAATAGTTTTAAGTGACCTTGTTTCTACATATCTGATGCTTGCTTCAATGTCTTCACATGTGAAACATTCCCTTTCATATCCAGATCAATCCGTTACCCATTTCATGTGGCCATGGTAGCAGTTTAGGCTATGTTAACAATCCAGGTGCATGTTTTATTCGAAAACATGTGCAGGGCTTTATGACCGTCTAATTTGCCCAGCTTTCTGCAGTTGCGTTCCTAATTTCAGTGCTATGTGCTATCGCACGATTTTTTAAACAAAACATTCAGTTTCCATTGAATACCATTAAGCTTGGACCATTCGTCGCTGATCATCCGTAGGGCTCAAATTAAATGGCCACGACCCACGTTTTCAGCTCAAGCGACCTGTCGGCTTAAATTGACCTATCGCTACCGGGTCTGGAAGGAACATGATTCCTCGAATAGCTGCTGAATGATTCCCCTCACATGATTACCTTCTGTCAGGCCTCTTAACCCTTTCATAGCTGCCTAATTCACAGGCGTTAACGAATTGCGTTGCATTCGACATACATAGATTACGGTTTGGTTGGTTGCCAAGCGACAAATATACATATTGTTCTTTGCTTCCGCAGAGTTTGGCTTTGTAAACCTCTCACAACTTATTTTCAAAGCCACACGTGACAAAAAGTGCAATGATCCTTCACTGGCTCAGCCCCGTCCAGCTTACACCTGTAGGCACGTGGCCCCAGAGCATACTTAAACAGCTGTGAGAGGTCCACAAAATCCCTGGCATTGGTGACGAGCGCCTATATCTGTAAACCT